CAGGGAGCCCTATACAAAGAACAAGAAAGAAGAACCCAGTCTACCCTCGGGAACTTAGCCTTTCCCCCTCGGGGACTATGTCTCAATCGGCTCCCTCAGGATCAGCTCCCTCACCGACCTCCTCCTCATTGTCTTCAGCATCGGAAAGAAGGAACTTGGCATCGAACTCATCCGCCTTGGCCTGCTCTATCCCCTCCGAGAGATCAAAGCCATTACCATGAATCTCCTCGAGAGTTTCCCTCCGGGATCTGCATCGGACATATTCGTTGCTTCTCCTCACTCGATTACCCCCCCTCAACTTCGTACGATCTTCAATAGCATATTTCAGATAGATGGCTACCTTCTTATCGGCCTTTGCTCGGACCTCTTCGGCTTCGGCTCAAGCGTCCATAACTTCGGCCTTCATCTTCAAAAGATATGCTTCAAGCTTAACAATCTTGCTCGTCTGGACCGAGTTGCTTTCTCAAGCATTACAAAGTTGTATATCGTGGGCGGAGGCCTTAGCCAAAGCATTCCTCTTGGTCGCAACATGAGCATCTATTTGTGCCTTCAATACGTTGCATTCAGAATTAACCCGGTTGGCTTCGCCGAGAAGGCGATCCAGCATCTCTGTCTTTCTTTGCAACTGAGATACCGAAACGTTAGTTTTCGAAGATGGGAACCGCTGGCAAAATTCGAGGCTAACCGGGTCTATGGGCTGGGTCGGAACCGCAGGGCCCAATGTAAACGAGTAAGTATTAACACTCAAGTACCCCGCTTTATACGTGGTTATATCTTCCTTAGAGGAACGAATCACTATCTTTTTATTGTTATCCCGTTCACAATCCTCTTTTACTTGACCAAGCTCGATCTTGGTTACCAAACAAATATATTGGGACATAGGCTCGCATCGGCCCGGCGTGGAAACATGTTTTTCAATTTTGAAATCGGACGTTATCTCACACGGCAGGGGGGTGCATTCCTCGATACGAAGTGGCGCTACCATTTTGCTCTTGGTCGATCGAGAAGATGAAGGAGCTTTTTCTTTTTAAGGAACACATTTAGAAGTTTTTGCCATCTCTAAGCAAAAGATCCGAAAAGATAGAAAATATTGCTAGAGAAGAGAAATGGGAGACCAAGGAGATTGGAAAAGGCTAAGTGAGACTTTGGAAGCACTAAGAGAATAAAAATTTGTAAGGTTATGGGATTTGCCTATTTATAAAGATCGTTTAAGCATGCTGAGGAAGCCGAAAGGCTGACCGTCGGCTGCCTACAATTAACGATTTTGGGAATCGTACAAAAAGCAACCCTCCAGTCACTTCAACCGCTTATGTCATGATGTTGACGTCAGGACCTAGGAATCGGTAATCAGTTTGTCAGAAATTATTAAGAACAAACTACGAGTCAGGTTCGAGTAGACACTCACCCGACTACTAATCCCAGGGGCTACCCGAGTTCGAGCAAGTTCTCACTCGGGGATTATTTATAAAGCCTCAGGGCTATCTTTATTTCGAGTTCGAGCAAACTCTCACTCGACTATTATGCCCGAGGGCTACCCGAGTTCGAGCAAGTTCTCACTCAGGTATTAATAAAGCCTTAGAGCTATCTTTATTTCGAGTTCGAGCAAACACTCACTCGATTATTAAGCCCAAGGGCTACCCGAGTTCGAGTAATTTCTCACTCGGGGACTATCTATAAATACTTAGGGCTATCTTTATTTCATGTTCAAACGAACCCTCGCTCAATTAAGGGCTACCCGAGTTCGAGCAAACTCGCAATCGGGGACTATTTATAAAAGACTAAGGGCTATCTTTACTTTTAGATGATCGAGCAAACGCTCACCCGGTTGCTAAGTCCAAAGGCTACCTGAGTTCGAGAAAATTCTCACTCGAGGACTATCAACGAAGCCTAAAAGGGCTAGCTTTATTTCAAAAATCGAGACCCAGCTCTCGCTCAACTCGGACTCAGAAGTCCTGGTCACCTAAGTTCGCATCAAATCAATCCAAGCTTAGTCCGAGGGATAACAAAGGACTTTAAGAAGCATCATATTAATCAATTAAAAACCTAAGGGTTTATTATGTTCCAGGTCCAGTATTCGGACTAATCGTTAGAGTCGTACACTTGGATTTTTCACAAACAAAGGCAGAATGGACTTCAGCACAAATCGAAGGCAAAATGAAGAAATTCTTATATTAATAGAAGATGTTTACAAAGCCCACGGGGGGCGCTTACACAGAAACAAAGAAGCAAAAAAAAAAACGGCCAAAGGCCTAATCTACTTTCGAGGGTATATCCTCAAGAGTAACATATTCGAGAACCTTTTCCTCTAGGACTCCATTTCGATCTTTAGAGCGGCGTCTTCGAGAACCTCCTCCGAAAAACAGCAATAGACGAAGAAAAGTCTATAGCCTATCAAAGAGCAAAAGCTTTTAAAAAGTGAAAAAAATTGTGGACCGGTGAAAAACTTGGCGAGTATGGGTCTCGTCAGCACTACTATTTTGAAGCCACTTCTTGAGACATTTCACCGGTGTGGGATGCAAAAGCTAGTAGATAGTGCCACCCCACTTCATGGAAGGCAAAAGGAATGAAGCACCACACCAGGTTGAAGTTGAGAGAGATGAGCAGCGGTCTAAAGTCCACATATCTTCTGATACGGGAAGAATTTGATGCCCTCCTCTCGTTGATTCGAGCCAACAACAACAACGACTCAGTATAATTCCACTTAGTGGGCAAAGGCTTTGAAAAAGCGCCATGGCATAACTGATAAGGTTGCTGCTTATGGCCTTGTGGTCACATGTTTGAACCATAAAAATAAGAGATTAGAGGAGGATACAAAGAAGGGAAAGGGCTGAAGGATGACTGAAGTTTTGGTTCAAGAAATCCCTTATTTTTAGAGAAATGACGATGAAACTGACGGTGCATTCAATGATTTTGGGGAACGGACCGGCGGTGCATTTAATATTTCTGGGGGAATGAACCGACGGGACGTTTTGATCACTTCGAGCGCCTACGTCACGAATGCGACGTCATCACAAGAAGCTCGAGAAAATCGAGGTCAAAGTCGTTTCATATCATTCTATTCTAAGAAACGCGGGGACTATCTGTATACGGCCATAATCGGAGAGCTCGACTTTGCGGCTACTGTGGCACTCCATACCCGACCTCGAGAAGCTCGAAGCAGAATTTGAAGTGTAACCCCGGGGTGCGTCCTCGAGATAACATACCGAAGGTTCATTGTGGTCAATCTCGAAGCAGTACATATCGACGACCGTCATGGAAAGGCGGGAAACTGCCGAGGGCACGTGATTAGAACTAACAGAGTCTGTGAGAAATAGTATAAATCCGTACTAAACCATTGTACAGTTGTACCGATAGCATTTCCTTGTCATTATTAGACATGTACTATGTCGGGATTCCCCCCTCCTATATAAAGGGGACCCTTGTCATTTTGTAAGGACACATGATATTGAATACAACAGAACATTCTCTGCTTTTCTTGCCTAAACGCGCTCAACAATCACTCTACGGATTTATTACTTGTTCATTTATAGTTCTTCATTTATTGCCCATTATTAACCGCAAAAGGCTATCTTCGAGGCCTTCGATATTATTGTTTCTTCATCAATTGTTCATTGCTAACTGCCTTAACTTGGCCTTGAGGCCCCCTGCTCCAGGCAGCTCGAGGCCAAGTCTTGCGACAGCGTTGATTTGCATATCTTATTCTCTTTACTTTCACTTAGCATTTATTTGCAAACGATTAGTATTGAAATAAATCACATATTTTTTTAGCCACAAAATCAAATATAATTTTTAATACCATTTTCAAGGTCAAACAAATCCAGATTTTGTCGGATAGAAGCATCAACTTTTGTATTAGTGAGGCCACCAACATGAATAATTTGATTGTTTTTATTTCTCATTCTCGTGGAAGCAAGTTGAAAGATGTAACTGTACAACTACGTTTTGCAAAAGATGTAATTTTACAACTACGTTTCGCAAATGAATATTTTAATATTTAGTCAGTTTGGTGAAATTACCTTTTCCTCGGTCCTTCTACTAAACATGTAAACAAATATGAAATTATCTTTTTCATGTCGGACCTCTTTTGTAAGCTATTTTTGGCACGTGCACGGGCGCGGGCAATCTAGTAAAAGAGATACATTGCTTTTGGATGGTTGTTACGTTCTATAATGTATATCGTATTGTTTTGTATTGTATTATATTGTATTTTGATAAATATAATGTTTGGATAGATTGTATCGCTTGTCGTTATTTCATGATATCATGCACCATGCATCAATATGAAAATAAACTTGCAATATGATAAAAAAAAAATTTATAATATGGGGTAAGATTATTATATAAAAAGGTAGGGTAAATGATACAATAAAATTATTTAATAATAATGAAGGGTGAGATGAGAGAAAAAGACAAAGTAACGACACGACCACACCTATTATTTTCTACATTTTGTGAGATCAGAATGTAATATCATTATATTCTTTTCGTTAAATCTTATGTGATTCGGCCCAAGGCATGCCTACCAATTTCCTAAACCGAGAAAATCTAGTCCCACTTCTATAGGTTCCACATTTTATTTATTTTTATATACTGCCCCATTCTGTATTAAAGACTTTCAGCTGTATTATCTATGCAAGTGAGTTTCATCATAGATTAAATGAAATTATTGTTTAGATCCCATATATCATGACTCTTTCCATTTTCATATGTTTTGCTTATTATTCTGATTAAATAAATCAAAGTGCTGCTGTATAATAGTATAACACTACCAAAAGCTGAAGCTTAGTACTAGAATCCTCGTATATTTTTCCACAAAAACAAAGGCAAAAGGGGAAATAAAAGAACACAGTAGAATAGTATTATGGCAGTAACTCACTTTTTAAAAACCAATTCTTTTAGGAGCAGATAGAGAAGCACAAGAACTAACAAAAACAAACCCAAAAGCAGAAAAAGCCTAAAGAAGACAAAATTGAAAACAAGTAGGAGAAAAATTTGCCCGATCATTCCTGAGAAGCTTTCACAGCATCAGTCATCAAATTCACTTGTTCCTCCATCAATGTTATCTCATTTAGTTGTAGTTCAGCCCTAGCAATCTTCATGGAGTGCGACTTGATCAACATTTCATGCCTCTGCTCCTTGCTAACCAGCCCAGGGTTTTGCCTGAACCAGTCTTCCAGGTCCGCAGCACTTCCTCCGTACAAAACCAAACTTGAATATCGTTCTGAACTACCAGCACACAAATTGTTCTTTTCTTTTGCAGCAATCTTTTTACCAACTTTTGGTACTTCATCGTAAACCTTAGTTGCTCCCTTCTCTTTGGCAATTTGGTTGTCATCATCCCAAATTCTTTGTGACAGTTTGAACAAGTTCTCCTCGTGAGGCTTCGAAAAGGCGCCCCTTTTCGCAACATTTTTCATAAATTTGCTTTTTAGGTTATTAACTTTGTCTTTCAGTTGATTTTTGCTTACTTCAACTTGCAATTGGTCCTTCACAAAAATATAGAATGCATTATAATCTACTGAGGGGCTAATATTTCTTGCGGATGCATACTCGAGCATGCCTTCCAAGACAGCTATCTCATCTTCATCGCTCCATAACCTCTTAAAATTATTTACGGCCTCACTAGCGCCTTTTTTCCCTGAATTTTTCATTGTCCGTTTCTTTCTACTGTTGGAATGAGATTCTGAAGATATACTCTCAGATGAAGTAGGTGTCCAGTCTTTATCGGATTCTTTAAGAGGATTATCGGTGTGGTTTTTGGCCATTTTCTGCATAATTTTTTCGTTTTTGGATAAGTTTAGAGAAGCCATTTCAGAGGAGAAAGGTAGCAATGCTTTGTGTACAGTTTTGATCTTCAACTGGAATGTTCTGCTTTCATTTTCATGTTGAACACCATTTAAATATTAGAGTATTTCGTGATGCTAATCGGATCGACATTGAAAATCTTTGGGTATGGTTCATGCTTTTAAATCTTTTGAGCTTCCCCAGGGATGTACATGTATTTCATCTAACTTTTGAAATTTATGTTCATTTTAACTATTGACTTTTCAGTAAATTATAATCCCTAGATTATAAGTTAGTTATTGGAAAAGTTAATTACCGTACAGTTCTCAAAAACCTAATTTGGTTTCTGTAAATCATCACCATTTTTTCAAAGTTACTTCGTCAAACTTTAATACATCCTCCATATTTGATCCTCTTTTATTTTACATTCTCAAGCTTAACTTTTCAGATTCTAGACGATTATATTTGTGTAAGTCTTGAATTATAGAGTAAACGTAATTATTTGATTGGCTTCATATTACTAAAGGGAATTGGAATCGGACTACACACATGTTCATTTCTTTTGGACAGTGTATGGTTTTTGTTATCTTATTTTCTAGCTTATACCAGATCTAGAGAAAACTCTTGAATTTTAAGAATTTATTCATCCCACATTGAATACCACATAAACCTTAGTTAAAGAGAAGTCCAATAGTTTTTCTTGTCCAATGTGAAATTAATTCAAAACTTTAAATGGTGGTCTCCTTAAATTCACCAGACAAAAGAATGTACTATCTGTAACTAGATAATACACACATTAATTATGAGCGTAGAGACTCCTTAACTAACTCTTCAATTCTTCCAATTAACGATGCATGGGTTTGAAGGGAAAATTGCAGACCCTCAATAGATTTGGATATTGACTCTAATAGTTAAATGCATCAATCAGTTCATTGATACCACTCAGTTTCATACAATAGTATCATGACATAATAATTATAATAATAATAATAATAATAATAATAATAATAATAATAATAATAATAATGTAAATAACAAAAAATAAAAATAAAATAAGAATGTCACAGTATGGATGAGAGAAAACAATATGTTTCTTTAAACGTTTTTCTTGTTATAAACAATAAAGGAAGAAGAAGAGAAAAGTAGAGAGAGAGAATTCTTATTGATTTGGGATCAATTATAATAGAATAGAACCCCTCTATTTATAGGGGAAAAATGACTTAGCCACCAAGTAACAAACCCTAAAATCTCTTTAAAATATAGACATTCACCTTAAATACATTTATTATAACACTCCCCCTTGAATGTCTATTCAACAGATAATGTGTCATGTTAAAACCTTGACTAAAATAAAACCCAGTGAAAAAAAATTCTAGTAAAAGAAAAAGAGTACACATATCTAACAATACACCTTTTGGCTGCCTCGTTAAAAACCTTGCAAGGAAAATCTAGTGCGACAAAACCTTGTAAGGGAAAAAGAGTACAATGTGTATTAACTCCCCCTGATGAGAACATCAATTCACATCCACGAGCCTTCGCACTACAATCTTGTACACCATCTTCAAAAGATCGTTAGTAGAAATTTGATAAACAAATTAGTCATGTTAACTTGAATGAATATATTGCACCTTGAAATCATCATTCTTTATAGGTATATAATGTCTTTATAGTGTCGAGGAATGACTTTTCAATATCTCCATAGAGGTATTCTCGCTATCACATTATCATACTTATAGTTATAGCAAGATACATATATGCACAAATTGCACTTATGATGCGGTACTTCAGGACTAAGAATTGTATATGCTTTATGTGGTTTAACTCTTTCAGGGATTGTCATATAAGTTAAGTCATATAAGACATATAAATAGACTTTAAATACATATCAAGTTTTCATGTCATGCTAGACAAATAAGATAGATAAAAGTGATTGCATACTCTGTTGACTTTATACTTTCAAGTGTTTGAACTACATGTCCAAAACTATATGTCCTTAATATGAAACCAATTCTATTCAAAATGTGTCTCTTCCATTTGGCCAATATTGTAACGACCGACTGGTCGTTTTGCTTTTTAGAATCCCGTTCCCCTAAATTAGACTTCCCGCGCTTGTCTTAACAAATTTACAACTTGCGGGAATGGTTGGTTCGGGATTTGGAGGAGTTTGAGTTGAAATAAGCACACTTGATTCTTTAAGATTTTCTTAAAAGGCTAAGTTTGACTTTGGTCAATATTTGTAGTAAACGGACCCGTACTAGTGATTTGACGGTCGCAGAGGGTCCGTAGGAAAATATGGACCTAGGCGTATGCCCGAAATCGAATTCCGAGGTCCCTAGTCCGAGTAATGAATTTTTATTAGAAATTGTCAAAACTGAAATTCTAAAGATTTAATGAAATTTGATAATGCTTGATCATATTGGTATCAGGCCCATATGTTGATTCCGGAGCCCGGTACAGGTCTAAAATAACATTTAAGACTTGCCCGCAAAATTTGGTGTCAATCCGAGTAGTTTAAGCACGTTTCGACACGTTAGAAGCGAATTAAGAACTTGAAGTTCATAAGTTTGATTCAATTGGTTTTAGGGGGTGATTCTTAGATTTAGCGTTGTTTCGGGCATTCTGAAGGTTCGAGCGAGTCCGTTTCATGATTTCAAACTTATCGGTATGTTCAGGCGGGGCCCGGGAGCCCCGAGCGTCAATCAGACGAGGCTCGAGTGAAGTTGGAAAATTTTGGAAGAGCTGAAGCTTCAGGTTGCTGTGATAACCGCACATGCGGTTGGTCAGCCGCAGGTGCGTGATCGCAGAAGCAGTAGCTCTCTCGCAGATGCGGCCAAGGCAGGCCAAGCCAAAACCGCAGAAGCGGCTCCTTAGCTGTATAAGCGTTAGCGCAGAAGCGGCTTCAAGACCGCAGAAGCGGTCCCCCCTCGCTTGGCCAATTCCACAGATGCGGCCTTCCTCTCGCAGAATCGAGACCGCAGATGCGGTCCCCTGACCGCAGATGCGGAAATCACTGAAGCAGTGAGTTCATTTAATACGGGCTCTAAGTCATTTTGGCCATTTTTCACTCACCATTGGGCGATTTTGGGAGCTTTTGAGAGAGGATTTCCACGTAGCACCTAGATAAGTTCATCCTCCTTATTTCTAAGTTTAATACTTGAGTTTTGGGTAGATTAACACACCAAGATTAGGAGAAATCAAGGGGTTAGAGCAAAACTTAGGGTTTTGATGAAACTTAGATTTTACCACGAAATTTGTATTGGAATGGAGTAGAAATCATATATTATTGATCCTTAGGTTATACAGAACAACTTCCTTCAAAGATTTTTGGAATCCAGGCACGTGGGACCAGGGTCGGATTTTAGGAAACTTGTGTTAAGGGTTAGGGAATTACTTTAGCAGCTAAAATGCGTACTCTTGAGCTTGTATTGACTAGTTCCTACTTCGTTTAATTAGTTTAGGATCGTGCGGTTCCAAATTGAGGGTTTGAGCACGTTCTTGATATTGGAAGTACGCTTTGGAGCGAGGTGAGTCTCCTATCTAACCTTGTAAGAGGGGATTGTCCCCATAGGTGTAATAATTGAATAGTTTGCCACTAAATGTCGGGGCTACGTACGTACTAGGTGACGATAGTCCGTGCGTAGCTACAATTATGCTTAAGTTCGGGTAGTTTAGGACCCAAAAACATGCTTTATGTGATGTTCTTGTGACTCTATGATTAATTTGGGGATTTCTTAAATCATGTTGAATGTGGTAGATGACTCTAATAAGAAGGACATCTTTTCTTGGCCTTTAAAAGATGAAATTTTGATATTTTCGTGAGTAATTGCTCTCCTGATATATATTCTTGTCTGTTTGTTGTTGTGTTCAAATACATTTGACCGCGTCGCATGTATGATTCGCGAGCGGGGTAATAGATACATCTATGGTTCGCGTTGTTCGACCCTCCGGTAGTGCACACTTTATTTTTCATGCTGGATCGGGCCGTACGACCTCGACACTACTTGCGTATGCTTATTGCTTGGTATATTGCTGTGATCGGAACTTTGTTATATGCCCTGAAATGTAAATGGTTAACTGTGATATCATCTAGTAAAGGACCTATTGCCTCATGTTTTATATTGTTAGTCATTGTGCTATCCAAGCTTAGTATATCACTTATCATATTATTTGACCCTAGTAAGTGTCATATCGACCTCTCGTCTCTACCTCTTCGAGATTAGACAGGATACTTACTGGGTACATATTGTTTATGTACTCATACTACACTTCTGTACTTAATTGTACAGGGTCTGAGGCTGGTATATCTGGTTACCAGGCTGGTGCATACCCTTGATCCGGCCGAGATTCCACGGTGTGCTGCTCCCTTCCTACGCCGTTCAGCAGCCCGATGGAGTCTTTTCTTTACTTTTGGCTGTCTACTCTATTTCGGACAGTAGGATAATGTTATTCTTTTGGATATTCTACTAGCTGCCCATGCACTTGGGACACCAGGTCTTGGCACACACAATAGTAGACATTTCTTTTGGGAATTGTATAACTATTTTTGGTACATTACTGATTATCACTTGTTTTTAACTTCAAGTTTAGAAATCGTGATACTTATTTTGGTAAAGTAAAATGAACACTTATTGATTTTTCCGCGTTGGCTTGCCTGACAATGGTGTTGGGTGCCATCACGACCTATAATGGAAATTGGGTCGTGACAACATGGTATCAGAGCACTAGGTTCAAGTAGGTCTCACAAGTCATGGGCAAACCTAATAGATTCTTGGGGATTGGTACAGAGACGTCTGTACTTATCTTCGAGAGGCCATAGGGTATTAGGAAACTACTCTTTATTCATTTCCTATCGTGCAGTGGATGGTACACTAAATTTTTCCCTTCTATTCTTTCACAGATGGTGAGGATGCGCACGGCAGATGTTCCCAACTCGGGAGGCGCTGCTCCCCCGTCGCTAGAGGCCGAGGTAGAGGCCGAGGGAGGGCACCGGCCCGAGGTAGGGGACGAGGGCGTCCCAGAGATGTTC